CCCTAATCTATACCCATGATGCAATAAATACATACATGATACAATGTATTCATTGTATCATGATCTATACTTATGTACATATACACTATTTACTCTGAGCGCGTGACTAATTTAATACTCAATACTCAGTTCTTTCAGTTGTCTTGATCTATAAGCCTTGTTCTATGATCTATGACTCAGTTAACCTATCTTTTAAGAGCAACAGCAGACTACAAGGTTGCTTGACCAGTTTTCAAGTTTTTATTAGTTTGTTGTTTGTTAAAACCATGTCTGTGCCCCATATTGTTGAGAAAACATGCTGCACTCCTGAGACAATAGCAGAAAAGCTTAAGGTTTTATGTTTACATGGGTACCGACAGAATGGCGATGTCTTCCGAGCAAAAACCGGTTCATTCCGTAAAATAGTACACAAGTGGGCCCAATTCACCTACATTACAGCACCGCATAAAGTAATATTAGTAGATAATCTGGATGCCCTAAGCGACCCTGACATTGGACAGTCGAAGGATGAAGGTGAATAATTTTCTTCGTAGTGGATAACTGTGGATGGTAATGGACCTATTGATTAATATTTTCACAGAACAGTATGGTTGGTTTTTCAATCGAGATGATAAAACGTATAGGGGAATTCGTGAAGGAGGTCCAGCAATTGGCTTTGAGGAGTCTGTAGATCTCGTTGAAGACATTTTCGAGAAAGAAGGGCCATTTGATGGGGTTTTGGGCTTTTCCCAAGGAGCCTGCTTTTTGGGACTGTTATGCGACTTGCAACACAGAGGATGTATGTATGTAATTCACCCATCATAATCTCAAGTTTGTGGAGATAAAGTAAAAAGTAATCAAAAACTGAAAGAAATAATGCAGAAGGGCAGTCTAAAACGCGTATTTTACCCCCAAAAACATTTCATAATGCGTGATTGTGTCACACATAGTCGTCCATTGCTGGACATAAGCCTTTCTTAGATATCTTCTTTTGTCCGCGCTACATTAATCCAATTCTGATGGAGGTCTGCTCTCCTACGATGTTCTTGGACCTTGTGGATCGAGTTCATTGATTAAAAACTTTCAGTTATCCCATTTGTGTAAAGGAATAGTGAAGTTAATTTTCATGCTTGAACCCATTAACTTTGGCCATTCGAGGTACCTATAAAAAAATTTAGAAAAGCAGAAGAACTAGTTTGTACCACCAAAAACATATATTTTTTCGCTTAGAACTTTGTTTTATATTTCAGTAACTAAAAATATTAAATTTAATTTTGCAATCATGGCAAGTGGGTTTAAATCTCAATGTTGGCCCCATCTGAAATACTATTCTGACAGGATGAGTTTGCCAAGCTTACATATATTTGGGGAAACGGATAAGGTTATTCCAACAGGTATTCTGGAAAATATTCTTATATATTCTTGTCGTACAGGAAAACGATTTTTCA